CTCTCCCATTCGACCTCGCTTCTCTATTTCCTGCAGTTTGTGGACAAGGCGCCAGCGGCAGTAGTAGATGGAGTGAGGAAGCAGGCGGAGGAGGCGGAGGAGAAACTGGCTCTTGTCAACAGACGCATGGAGCAGCTGCAGGGCATGGCTGCCACCACTGCTGCTAGTGCATGACGTTTTCAGTGGGCTCAAAAAGCAGGCTGAGGAGGCAGAGGGTAAACTAGCTCTTGTGAACAGACGCATGGCATGGCTGCCACCACTGCTGCCACCACTTCTGCCACCAGCGCGTGACCTACCGCACCAGGTTTATCACCTCTGCTGCTTTTGCTGGCACTCGCACTACCGTCAGTACTACAAAGGCTAATTCAATGCACCATCTTTCCGTTCTGACACCCGACGTCTCTACAAATAAGTAAATGCAAGCCATGTGCCGCTGCAGCAGGCAGGTCCTTTGGTCTGCTGCTCCCCGGCCTGTGTCAACTGCACGATCTCTATCAGGTGTTCCCTGATTGCTGCTTGCATGTTCCCTCTTTCTTGCAGCTACTGGGTAAGCCTGTAGTGGATGCTTTGTGTGGTCCTGAAAAAGCCGGGCTATGAGCTATTCCTGCCTCTGACGCATCGGTGGAACTGCAGGCACAATATGACAAAAGATTCTCTTTGTAACAAAGCATTGCTTCCACAATGGCTAGAAAACCTGGACTCCTGAATCAACTTCAGTGGCAGCACCAACAGCAGCGGCCACCTGAGCATCCACCACACAAACAGAACCCCTTCTCCCTTGCTCACAACACGCCACCTGAGCACACCTCCTCCAGCCTTGCTCTCTACGAGCCCCTCAATCCAACTGTACAGCAGCATCCACCTCTGCATCCTCCACAGCGGCCACCTGAGCATCCACCACACAGAACCCCTTTTCCCTGCACTCCTCTTCCAGCCTTGCTCTCTGCTGCTCCCCCTCAGGGCAGAAGGCCACCACAGCTGGTACCCTGGTACTAATATCAACCCCTCAATCCAACTCCACAGCAGAGGCCACCTGAGCATCCACCACACAGAACCCCTTTTCCCTGCAAACCTCTTTGAGCCTCGCACTCTGCTGCTCCCCCTCAGGGCAAAACGCCACTACAGCACCACCGCTGCCTGTGAACTTGGCTGCTGCCCTCACTGCCCGTGCTGCCTGCACCATGCTCAGATTCACCTCCCCCAGCACCTCGTCTCCAAACATCTGCCTGTGAAGCGGAGAGGTGGAGACGCGGAGAGAGGGATGAAGCACGGGATGTGTGGCCCGGGGGCAGGCGGTGCAAAGAGGGGGATTACTGAGACGCAGAATGCCAAGTTCACTTCTTCCCTACCTCGCCCTCAAACATGTTTAATGAGAGGTGAGCACAAAAAGAGAGACCCAGGTCGTACTCGTACCACACACTCAGGCATACCAGACAACCCACCTAGTGCTGGGCACCCAAATCATACCTGCGCAGGTCAAAGTTTCGGTTTATCAGCTGAGCAAGCTTCCCCCAATCCCGTGCCACCAGCGCATCCCGCCCTTCCTCTGCCAGCGCTGCCACGTCAGCCATGGCCTGGCGAACTGCCACGTCACCGGCCTGCCACCTGGCACGCACGGAGCTGTGCACGTGGCCTGAGTCACTGGGATTGGCGGCGAAGATGACCTGCAGTGGAGGTAAGAGCGCCAGGTCCATGGGCTGGTACATGCCGTAGCCATGTGCCTCCAAGTGTGGTTGGTTGAAGTCCTGCGGGGTGTGGAGGGAGGAAGAGGAGAGTGTGAGCGGAGAAAGCAGCGCTTGCCAGGTCCATGGGCTGGTACATGCCGTAGCCATGTGCCTCCAAGTGTGGTTGGTTGAAGTCCTGCGGGGTGTGGAGGGAGGAAGAGGAGAGTGTGAGGGTAGAAAGCAGCGCTTGCCAGGTCCATGGGCTGGCACATGCCGTAGCCATGTGCCTCCAAGTGTGGTTGATTGAAGTCCTGTCGAGTGAGGCGGAAAAGGCACCAAGAGCGGTCAGCAAGTGTGAGGGGAAAGTGGGAATCCACATATGGGAGGTAAGAGGGCCACGTTCATGGGTTGGTAGATGCTATATCCGTGTCCCTCTTCTAGGTGTGCAGGGTCGAAGTCCTGAGGGGTGGGAGAGGAGAGGAGAGGACAACACAAGAGACGATGATCTGCAGAGGCGGCAAGAGGGCCGGGACCGTGGGCTGGTAGATGCCATATCCGTGTGCTTCTAGGCGTGGCTCACTGAAGTCCTGAGGGGTTGGAGAGGAGGGAGAGAGAGGTGAGGGAGGAGAAAAGGGAAGGTGCGAGGAGAACGAGGGAGTTAAGCTGAGATATATGGTTTTGAGACGTCTAAAAGCTGAGATACATCTCAGCCCTGTTCCCTCTTTGGGGCATTTGAACAGGCGGCGCGGGCAAAGGACCGGGGAAGGGGTTTCTGTGCAGAGCAAATCACGTTACTCTTTTTGTGGGGGGGAAGGGGGAGGGGAGGGAAGGTGGGACTAACCATGAACACCAGTCCACCGTAGGTTTGGATGACCCGATCCTGCAGGCCCGCAGCAATGCCGAGCCTGCTCTCAGCCTCGAGGATGAGGTTCGGGCGCACAGGTACGGGAATGACACGGTGGAGGTGGTAATGATGGAGGAGGCAGCTGAGGGCGGCAGCAATGATTGCACTGGATCCTGACAGGCCCACCTGATTGGTTGGTGGAAGTGGGATATGGGGAGTTGAAAGAGAGAGCATGGGATAAGTGTGCGCCGTGCGGAGGGCATAGATGGGCCAGATGTGGTGGTTGGTTTTTAAGGTGGTGGGTGATGGTGATGGAGATGGTGGTGGTGCTAAGCGTTCACAGGAATTTTCATGAAGATGGGCTGAGAGATTGAGTGGCAAGGGATGGAAAACCGCGGGGCGAGGTATGCTGGTGGTAACCCTACCTGGCGAGGAATGTTGGTGGAGTAGGAGAGAGTGAAGGCGGCGTGTTGTGGCAAGTCAACGCCGTGCTGCTGGCAGTAATCGTGGGCACACGCGCACAGCGACACTAAAAGACAAACGCCGCCATCCGCGTGCTCAAGCCGTTGCTGGTTGGATAGTTCCGCCTGTGCCACCCCTAGATTCAACACACACGAAAGGGAGGCCAAACACGTGACGGGGCGTGTCAGTAAAAGCTAGTCGGCAACTAAATAATAAGGACGAATGCGACGAGCGCGACGATTGCGACAGTTGCGACAGTTGCGACGACTGGATACGTTACAAATCGACGCGCGCACCAGATCGCTAAGCGACGCGAATTCGGCGATGTCGTCGCCCGCACACGGCTTGATTCGTATAGTTCGCGAAGGCTGTAACGTGACTTCCGCGAAGAAGTTGGCGAGGGAGAAGGAAAGAGTCTTTCCGTTGTAGCCGTCGCTGGGATTCCCCAACAGCCCCACGCGCGCGTACGCCCGTTGTGTGATGCTGCGCGCCGAGTCGGAATCCGCTTTCGCGGGATTCGGATTTGAGCAATTCTCACTCTGGTCTACGCGTACTTCCATTTTAGCAATTGCAGGAAATTGGTAAGAGCAGAAGAACACTAGTGTGACGGAAACTATTTGAGTATTGACGCAGAGTCGTGCGTTGTGACGGCTATCGCGGAGCTATTCTCGCTAGTAGTGATGTTCGAAGAAGAATGGTTGGAAAGGGTACCCGCCCGTTGCTGTGAAGAAATGGAGCTGCTGCTGGTGCTGGCTGCTGGCCCTTCTGGAGCTTGCCCGCTCGCAACTGCTCCGATGGCATTGAAGTGTCGAAGACAGTCGAACACGATTCCACGTGTACAGCCAGGAACCACAACATAGAAGTTCGGTGTTTGTTCTTGGGAAAATAAAAACGAATAGTTGAACTGTGGAAGGTATACTTACCTGGGCGGGGTCAATCGGTGATCAAGAAGGCCGATGGCCTAGGGGCGGGCCCGCCATTGCACTTCGGCCGGCCCTGTCCCTAGCACGCCGGAACTCCCGGTGATGCACGTCATAATTTGTGGCAGAGGGGGCTCGCGTTCGCGCGGCCCCTACCAAGATGAATTTTGAAGTGGGATTTGCAATTTGTCGGAAAGTCTCAATTGAGATCAGAGATGCGACATTAGCTGGGGTAGACGCAGGTGAACACGCCTTCGCTTGCAGCGTAGTCAAAAGTCTGCATGCCACAACAAAATATATGTCGAAGTAAACTCACAATCGCTGTAGGGAGAACAAGTAAAGTGAGTCAAATCACAGAGAAACTCAACACTGGCCAAACAACAACGAATCACTCCTTGTCGACACCAGTGTTTCGCGCGCAAACTGTCACAGGCAGCGACTGTCTGTCAGAACCAAGACCGTCCCCTGCTTGACGAACCACACTTCACCACGAGTCGTGCACGATATCTCAATTGCGCGAAACGAACTGTTACACAAAACCCCTTCGTCACACCCACTTCCACCTCAAAATTTCATGACCACCACGTCTTCGTCAGCGTCGCCACGCCTCGCCAACATGCGCTGTCAGGGGTGCCCAACCTGCTCTTCCTGGTCGTGCTTTTCCCAATTTCTAGGGTTCCTCGAAGTGAGGCTTGGTGGGAGTTGCAGGTAATTCCAAGGCTGTCTTCTTCCAGCAGCAGTACTTCTACGTTAGCTCCCGCCAGACAGCCTTGGTTCTACCGCGACAGGATCCGTACATGCTTCGATTGTGCTCGATTTGGGGTTCCGTTAATAGGTTGCTTCTGTAATTCTAGCGATTATCACGTATCCAGGTTGCAGGTTACTACCGTGCGAGTTCTTTTCTCGGCGACGTACTGCCGTTTTCCTGCCGTTTTCACGGGTAACCCATGACGCTCGCTTCGGTGTTCGCTTCTCAGGTGACTCGTTCCATCTCATCTCTTGGCGAACCGCTTAGGCCGCAGCTGACTTGCTTTTTCCCGACTTAGCATCACCGGACGGCTGTAGACTCGTACACCGTATTATCTGAACTCCCCGGTTGGCGGTTCAGTTATGGAAATTCTCCCGCCGTCAACTACCCGTCAGCCGGCTATTCCAGGCCGGCCGGAGCAATCAGAGGAGTACGCATGGGTTCCAGGTCTAATCGACGCGGCGACGATCGAGAAGCTCGAGCGCGTAGGTATGACATGGGGCCCTCTGACCGGCCTCCCGTGGGGAGCTCCCATCCCTCTGCTTCTCCTAACAGCCTTCTGCACCACTCTGCACCGATACAACCCCAGGCGGAGGGATTTCCCCGTGGGGGTATCGTTCGGGTGGTACATACTGCAGGCGGAAGATGCGGACGATGAGCCGCCACCGGCGGAAGCGCAGAAGGGCGGAGAAGGGGGAGGGGGCGGCCACCGCCAGTCGCTTTTCTCCGATAGTGAGTACTCCGACTCCGATTTCGAGTCGTCGCGCCAGGCCACGCGGCTGTCCGCGATAGGCGGCGGCGGAGGAGGAGCTCCATCGGGAGGAGCGCTAGGAGCGGCGGCGCGCGCGGCGTACCAGTCATCCGCAGGTCCGGGGGGGGGCGTGGGGACAGGCAAGGGCGGAGCCATCCCGCAGGGGATGCGGCCAGGCGGATTAGCCACAGGTCTCCTATCCACCATGGTTGGCGCAATGGCAGGGGGAGGGGCAAAACCCGTAGCAGCAGGCGCAGGTGCGGGAGCAGCTTCCGCGAAGCCCGCAGGGGGAGGACTGCTGCGGCTGTGGCAGGGGGGGAAGCTGTATGACGCGCCGCCGTCGGGGCAAGATCTTAAAGTTAGCTGGCGCGCCAACGGGCTGTTTCACGACACTATATCGGACGCGATGAGCTCCATAACGAGTTTTTCCGCCGTAGGAGAGGAGGACGAGGATCAACTGCTGGTGGTGAACGTGGAAATGGATAACTTACCCGCGCGCGCCCCGCAAGCGGACAACCTACTCCCCCCTTCCGCGCTCCCCCCTGCTGCTGCGCCCCCAAGCGCGGTTCCGCGCCAGGGCAGTCTGGGGGCGGCGGGTTTGCCGTCCATGGGGTTGGCGAAACAGCACAGTCTCAAATCGGACCCGGGAACCGTGTCAGGGGCGGGCGCATCCGGGGCGGGCGTATCTGGGGGAGGTGCATCAGGGGCGGGTCGTTCCGACAGGGACGTGACTTTGCTTGAGATGCTGGCGCACGTGGGATCGCGGCTGTTTGAAGCGGTAGGAAGCGCGGAAGAAGGGGGAGGCGCATCCGGGGTAGGTCACAGCGGTGGGTTAGATAACCCTACGAGAGACCACAGCGGGAGTTTGGCACGGTCGTTAGGTGGGGGGCCGGGGGAGGGGCGGAGTGTGCGGGCGGGGGGAAGGGGCGTGTCCGGGGATGGCATGTCTGATGTGGATAGAGAGAGTGTGGGGCGGGGGACGGCTAGATCAGCATCAACAGCCCGGAGCAGAGTGGCTGCTGCCAGTGCAGCTGCAGTTGCGAAAGGGTTTCCGGCCTTTTTCAAGTATTTCGCGTATGGGATTGACCGGCAGACGATTGAAGAGGAAGGGGAGGATATTCCGTCGTGCGGGCTTGCCGGGTTGTTTGTCCCCGGGTCGAAAAAGAAAGCGGTGCTGATTCGGTGGCGGTATGATGTGTCTAAGTACGATGAATCTACGGTTGCAAGGCTGAGCGCGAATTTTTGTTTTTTGGTGGAGCGGATTGCATCTCTGCCGTCGATCGAGGCGCTGCCGATTTATTACCTGCCCGTGCTGACCGACGCGGAAAGGGAGCAGCTAGAGGACAAATTTTCTGGGCGGCTGGTGCCGCATGCGTTTTGGCATGAGGAGGAAGAAGGGAGGAAGCTTCTGCTGGATGTTGGGGGGTATAGGGATGGGAGGGGGGTGGGGAGAGGCGGCAGGGATAAGTTGAGGGAGAAGGATAGGCTGAGGAGGAAGAAGAAGCAAGAGGAGGGAAAGAGAGAGGGTGTGGAAGGTGGTGGGGAGAGGGGCGGAGATGGGGTGATTGTTGGACCAGGTGATAATACTGAAGGGAGGGTAGTAGAGGGAGCAGCAGGAGCATTAACAGCAGGCACATTAGCAGCAGGAGCAGTAGGAATAGGGATTGCAGCAGGTGATGCTGCTGCTACAGGTGCTGCTGCTACAGCCATTGCATCCCTCCCTCCCCCTCCTCTTTCCCCTGGTGCAGCCTCGTCCGCCGCCCAGTCTCAGGTGGGTTCTAGCGCCAGAGGGGGGGCAGTGGGGGCAGCAGGCGGAGCAAGGGCAGGCGGAGGCGGAGGCTCAGGGGGAGGGGGAGGAGCGGGGGGAGCAGGGGCAGCGGGCAGTGTGGTAACATCAGGATTGGACACGGTGACAGATCTGTCAGATGCGGCACCAGGGAGTGTGGGCAGGGGGGCGAGGAGCAGGGGGCGGGGGTTGAATGTGCGCGATCGCACCCTGGTGGATCTGTTTGAACGGCAGGTAAAGGTTAACCCAGCTGCCACTGCACTGCTTCTGCTGCACCGGGGGAGAGGGCGCGGGGGCGCGGGCGGAGGGGGATCATGGGGAGGTGGAGCGGGAGGAGGGGGAGCGTGGGGAGGTGGAGGAGGAGGGGAAAGAGGTGCGGGAGCGGGAGCAGGAGGAGGAGGAGGAGGAGGTGGGGTGGAAGGGGCGAAGGTGGTGGTGAGGGAAGCGGTTTCGTACGTGCAGCTGCATGCGCGTGCCCTGCTGATCGCGAGGTTCGTTGCCAAGAAGCTTCCTCGCCCTGCTCTTATCCCGGCGTCGCACCGGGGTAGCAGCCACAGCACCCCTGCCGCCACCCCCAAGGCCTCCTCCTCTGCTGCTGCCGCTGCCGCGGCTGCTGCTGCTGCCAACGGCACGGGTGTTTCTGTTGGCTCCCCAACCGTTTCAGCAACACCAGCAGCAGGAGGAGGAGGGGGAGGAGCAGGGGCGAACATAGCGGCAGCGGCAGCAGCAGCAGCAGCAGTGGGGGCAAGCCGGGCGAGACCAGAGGTGCAGCTAGTGGGGGTGTGCATGGAGAGAGGTGTGGATTGGGTAGCAGCTATTCTCGGGATTATGATGGCTGGACGGGCGTATGTGCCTCTGGATCCCTCCCTGCCACGTGGCAAGCTGGAGGAGATTGTGGAGGAGTCCGGGATCATGCTCGTGCTCACGTCGCGCCACCTGGTGGACGCGCTGATGTGGATGACGCCCCGCTCGCCTCGTGGCGCGGCCGCCACGTCATCGTCAAGTCCGGGAGTGGCCAATCAGGGAGGGCCAGAGGAGGTAGGCCAGAGGCAGGATCAGGAGCAGGATCAGCAGCAGCAGGAGCGGCGGCGGCGGCATCATCTGTTGAAACACAAGCGGGCTGGCAGCTCGGGAAGCTCAGGAAAGGCGGAATCAAGAGGAGAGGCCAGTGTGAGCGACAGTAGAATCAGCATCAGCAGCGATCGGAGGACTGGGGTGGCGATTTTCTTCCCCAGCAGCAGCAGCATGGGTGCCGCTGACAGCAATCACAGCAGTAGTATTTCAGGCGAGGGGCGTTTGGCGAGGGCGCTGCCTGTGTGGGCAGTGGAGGAGGTGATCGAAGGGGAGGTGGAGGAGGAGAGGGCGGAGCGAGCATTGCTGGGAGACTGGGGACCTGGAGATGAGGGGATGACTGGTAGAGAAGCAGGAGCGGGAGGGGGAGGGCCCGGGGCTGGTGTGGGGGTGAGTGCAGGGAGTGCGGGATTGGATGTGCTGGTGGGGTTGAGACCAAGGGCGAGTGGGACGTGCTGTGTGGTGTATCGAGAGAATGAGCTGGGGCGCGTGCGGGGCGTGGTGTTACAGCATCAGGGCGTGGTCAACATGGTGCACTGCTTTAGACACCGATTGCCCTCTGAACATGCTGCTGCTGCTGCTGCTGCTGCGAATCCTGCTGCTGCCACTGCTGCGCCTGCCACTGCGGCTACAGGTGCTGCTGCCGCTACTGCTGCGGCGGCTGTAGCGGCGGCTACAGCGGCGGCCGCCGCTACAGCGGGAGCGGCTCCCCCTGTGGATGTGAGAGCGCAGATCTCCCCCGCCCACCTGCCCGCGCACCTCTTTGAGCTGTTCACAGCATTTGATGTCGGCGCCGCTGCTGCCATCTGCCCCTCGCCCCTCGAACCCCATTCGCTGCACAGCTCTGCTCCTTATAACGAATCTGCTTTTAGCGGAGCAGGAGGAGCAGGGGCTCTTACTGCTGCTGCTGCTGCTGCTCATGAGTCTGCTGTGGTTCACGCACAGGCATGTGCGGAACTTTCCTCAGAAGCTTCTCTCCTGGGTGTTTCTGGGCTGCTCACACTGCCAAGTGTCGCGATGTGGTTGGAGCCCCGGTCGCTCCCGAGCCTGCGCTGGGTGGCCTTCTCAGGCGAGCCCGTACCTAGAGCTCTGGTTTGGCGCTGGCTTCGGGCCGGACGTGTGGTGGTTGATATTTACGGGGCTGTCGAGTGTTCCCTGGCCGCCACGTGTGCAGTCTGGCGGCCTGGCGACAGGGTGGCGGATACGATTGGCCGGCCACTGCCAGGTGTCCACGTGTACATTCTCGGGCCGAACCTAGAGCTCCTCCCGATCGGTGCGGGCGGCGAGGTGTGCATTGCAGGGATACACGTGGCGAGAGGGTATTGGAAGCGGCACGGGGAGACGCGGCAGAGGTTCGTGAGCAACCCATACGGCATGGGAGTTCACGACCGGAAGCTGTTTCGAACAGGAGACCGAGGGAGGTGGTTACCAGACGGGTGCATGCAGTTTCTGGGAAGATTAGAGCAGCAGGTGTATATCCGAGGGTTGAGTGTAGAGCCGGTGCAGATAGAGGAAGCGGGGAGTAAGGTGGATGGGGTGGCGCGCTGTGTAGTGGCGTTCAGGGCGCATGACCCTGGGAGACAGCCGTATCTCGCTGCCTATCTGCTGCTTAAGCCGTCGCTCGCAGCGGCTGCTGCTGCTGTGGCGGCTGCAGGAGAGGCAGGGGTGGGGGGAGGGGATGGGGGGGAAGCAGGGGCGAGGGCAGGGGCGGGGAAAGGGGCGGGGAAAGGCGGGGGGAAAGGGATGCAGACTCCAGCTCAGCAGCTACTGGCGTCACAGCAATTGGCAGCAGTGATACCCAAGAAGGTCCGAGAGTATTTCAGATCCGCCCTCCCTCCTCACGCTGTTCCCTCAGCTATCCATGTGATTCACCACCTCCCCTGGACCAAGACAGGCAAGGCCGACCGCTCCCGCCTCCCTCTGCCGCCCGCGGACTCCTTTTTTGTCTCTTGTGATGAGGACGGGTCTGTGGGCGGCACGGGGTTGGGGGCGGGCGGCGGAGATCCGCTGGAGACGGCGGAGGAAAGGGCAGTTGCGGTGATTTTCGCCGAAGTGCTGCCCGGGGTCGAGGCGGGCAGGTTGCGGAGAAATTCAAACTTTTTTGAGCTGGGAGGGAATCTGTTTCTGGCAGCACAGGTGGTTGCGAGGCTGGTTGATTCTATCGAGAGTTCTGTTAAGGAGGGCGGGAGCAACGGGGGGGATGGCAGCAGTAGTGGTGGTGCTGCTGCTGCCGCTGCTGCTGCTGCTGCTGCTGGTAATGCTGGTAGGATGCAAGGAAAGGGAGGTGGAAGAGGGGAGGGGGGAGGGAAGGGAGGGAGGAGAGGGGGCAAAGGCAGCAGTGGGAGCGTGGGCGCAGGGGAAGCAGCAGCAGGTGGAGGGGCAGGAGGAGGGGGAGGGGGTGGAGCAAGGGCGGAGTTCTACAGAGCAGGGCTGACGCTGAGAGACATGTTCAGTGCGCCCACTGTCATGGGCCTTGCTGCCGCTCTGCACCGCGCTGCTACTGCCGCTGCCGCCGCCGCTGCTTCTGCTGCTAGTTCTGGTGGTGGTGGGGGATTGAGCTTGGATGAAGGTTTAGAGGACAGTGATGGGGAGGAGCAGGAGGAGGGGCACGCAGGCTTAGGGGAGAGGCTGCTGCGCCTGGCACCCTTCCCTTCACCCGCTGCTACTGCTGGTTCTGGCAGTGCTGCTGCTGTTCCTGCTGGTTCTGTGGCTGGAGGGGCAAGTGAGGGGGATGGGGCGGGTGGAGTGGTGGGGGTGGCGCTGTCAGAGGCGCAGGTGCTGCTGTGGGTGGCGTACCATGCTCTGCCGCACCCGCAGCTGCTGGACGAGTGCCACGTGTGGCGCCTGCAGGTGACACGAGTTCCATGTGTGTGCCATGTGTGTGCCATGTGTGTGCCATGTGTGTGCCATGCGTGTGCCATGCGTGTGCCATGTGTGTGCCATGCGTTGGTGATGCCATGCGTTGGTGGTGCCATGCGTTGGTGATGCCATGCGTTGGTGGTGCCATGCGTTGGTGATGCCATGCGTTGGTGGTGCCATGCGTTGGTGATGCCATGCGTTGGTGGTGCCATGCGTTGGTGGTGCCGTATGCGTTTCTGTGCTCTTACACCATTGCTTCAAGTCCTCCTCCTCCCCTCCCTTCGCCCGTCAACCTCCCCGCCCTCCCTCCTTTCCGTCCCCTTCTGCCCTCCCCTCCCTCCCTTTTCCAATTCACAGGGGCCGGTGAATTTCCCTCGGCTGCAGCGGTCGCTGCAAGTACTAGTGATGCGCCATGCGGCTCTGCGCTCTCGCTTTGTCGTCTGGCACACCGGCAAGCATAAGCAGTCGGGGAGAGGTGGCGCTGGTGGTGGCGGCAGCAGGGGCAGCAGCAGCAGCAGCAGCAGTAACAGGGGCTCGCTGCGGTTGAAAGCGGCTGTGATGGATGCAGCTATCAATTCCCTTAGGACTAAGCTCGCTGCCGTTGCTGTTGCTGGCGCTGCTGGTGCTGCTGGGAACAGGAGGCACCCAGGGAGAGGGGCAGCAGGAGCAGGAGGAGGAGGAGGAGAAGGAATGGGAAGAGCCAGAGCAGGAACAGGAGGAGGAGTAAGAGTGAGTGCAGCAGCGGGTGGTGGGGAGAGCAAAGGAGGAGGAGGAGGAGGAGGAGGAGGAGGAGGAGGGGGGGGGTTTGTCTATCGGGCCCTAGCAGGGTTGTTCGCACCGAGCCTCTTTGCACCCAGCTTCTGGAAGACGGCAGAGAGTGTGTTGGAGTGTGTCACGCAGATCCACACCCACCCCACACATGGCCCTCCTTTTAAGCTTGCTCTGGTGGATATTTCCGGCGCAAAGTACTCCAAACGAAACAAGCTTATAGCGGGGATAATCGCGGAGGCAAGACAGCCGTTCTGCCTGAGGACTCCAGAGGAGGCGGCGGTTCAGCTGGTAATGGGGGGGAGTGGGGTGGGTGGGGGGGATGGAGGGAGTGCGGGTGGCATGGGAGGGATGGGAGTGAGTGGGGGAGGAGGAGGCTTGGGTGCAGCAGAAGCTGGGCTGTTAGCAGGAAGAGGAGGAGCAGCAGCAGCGGCAGCAGCTGCAGCAGCCGCAGCCAGACTGGGTGCGGGAGCAGACAATGCAAGAGGCGGCGGCGGCGGTAGCAGCAGCAAGGGTGGAGAAACGGCAGCGGCAGCAGCAGCAGGGGAAGGGGAGAGCTTGTTTCGAGCGACGCTGATCCGGCTGAGCGCCACGGAGCACTCTCTCGTGCTCGTGTGGAACCCTCTCATCTTCGACGGCGTCTCCTCCTCTCTTTTTTACTCCGACCTCCTCCAGGTGTGCAACTCGCCCCCCCCTATATTACACGCACACACACACACACACACACGCACGCACACACACACACACACATGCACACACACACGCACACACACACACACACGCACACACACACACACGCACACACGCACGCGCGCATGCACGCACGCACACACACACACACACACACACACACACACACACACACACACACATCACGCTGAGCGCCACAGAGCACTCACTCGTGCTCGTGTGGAATCCTCTCATCTTCGACGGCGTCTCCTCTTCGCTCTTCTACTCCGACCTCCTCCAGGTGTGCAGCTCGACCTCCTCCAGGTGTGCAATCTCTGGGTTTCCTTCTGAGAATTCTCAAAAGCGATTCAAAAGAGAGTTCTCAAAATCGACTCCAGGTGTGCAATCTCTGGGTTTTGCTTTGCGCGCATCTTTTGCTTTTGCAGAACCTTCTTTGCTGGTGCAGTCTTAGGGTTTTCTGCGCAGTTTTTGCTGTTGCTCAAACCTTCTACTTCTCACCTCTCTTATACTCCTCCCTCTTTCTCTCCTTCCTCTGCTACTCCAACCTTCCCTCTCCAGGTTTACAAGGCGGGCGGCTCGGCGGCCGACCTCCCTGCAGTCGCCAGCTACGCCGATTTCGCCCTGTGGGAAAAGGACAATCTGGCGAGTGCCGGGCACAGGGAGTGGGACCTGGGGTTCTGGAAACAAGCGGTGGGTGTACCTCCCCCAAAACTACCTCCCCAGCTGCAACCGAAAGTAGACGAAAGCGGGAGCGAAGGAGGAGTGAGAACAGGCAGAGGAGGACGAGCAGCAGCAGCAGCAGCAGGACCAGGAGCAGGAGGGAAAGGAGCAGGAGGAGCAGGAGCGGCGGCGGCAGCGGCGGTGGCGGCAGGGGGGTTGGCATTAGCGCTACGGAAGGGGCATGTGGAGGTGTTGATAGCAGCGAGCACCAGGAGGCGGCTCGAAACCTACGCCTTCCACCACGGCGCCACTCTCTCCATGGCCCTCCAAACCGTTCTGCACGCCTTGCTACACCTCTGGACCCACCAGCACTCCGTCGTGATCGCCGTCCCGGTCGCTAGGAGACAAATCCTGCCGCTCCACTCGGTGATCGGGCGGTTTTCAGATGTGCTACCCGTGGTGACGGATATGAGGAAGCATCTGAGCCCTCCATTGGTGGTGGCTGGACGGCTGAGATCGTTCACTTCGTCGATCAGCCGGGCGTCATCGTGTGTGTCATCTCGATGCGTCTCCCCTTCTACTTCCCGCCAGTATTCCGCGCTCTCTCCTCGCCTCTCTGCTTCCACTGCCGCTGCTGGAGCTGGTGGGCCAGGTTCGGGCTTCCGACCCTCCAGCCATGGAGGCCGGAGCTCCGGAAAGGGAGAGGGGGATAGGCCAGGGTCGGCAGGGGGAAGGGGAGCAGGAGGGGGAGTGGAGGGAGGCGGTGGGGGGTACTCTAGTAGTGGGGACGACAGGGAAGACGGGGCAGCTTCGACAGCAGAGAGAATAGGTGCTGCTGGTGCTGTTTCCGGTAGTTGCTTACGCCCTGGGATGACTGGGAGAAAGGGGGATGGAAGAAGAGGGGGAGGAGGAGCAGGAGGGAGGGGCGGAGGTGGGACGGGCGGGGGAGCGGGGAGGAAGTTGTGCCTGCCCAGCGAGGTGCATGCAATTGGGGATGCTGACTCCCCGCCCCTGCCCTCCCCTCGCTCCTCCCCTGCTCCTGCTGCTGTATCGGCTGTGGCTGCTGGGACTGGTGTGGCTGGTGTGACTGGTGCTCCTGCTGATGCTGCTGCTGCTCTGAGACAAATCGCGGCGGCTGATGTTGATGGGTCGAAGCAGGGGCACCAGGGGCAGGAGTTTGTTCAGGGGAGTGGGGGTGTGGGAGTTGGCACTGACGTGCTTTCACTCGCTGCGGCTGCTGTTGCTGCAGGGAAGGGGGGGAGGCGTGGGGAGGAGAGTCGGCCTGGTGGGGGGAGTGGGTTGGTGCAAGGAAAGCAAGCTGGACTGATGAAAGGGAAAGGGGCGGATGGGGAAGGAGAAGGGAAGGGGGGGGCGATGGGTGGGGGCAAGGGAGGTCGGGAGATGTGCAACGATCAGTGGATGTCTGAGGGTGTGTCCTTTGAGCAACTGCTATTCCAAGTAAGTAACTCGGTGCTTCCCTCTCTCAGGTACTCAATGGTGATAAGTTTTTGAAAGCCACTCGTCCTCATGCTGCAGTGCAGTGCATGTCTGGTCTGAGGGTGTGTCTTTTGAGCAACTATTATTCCAAGTACGTAACGCATTCCCTCCATCCTTCATTCTAATGAACATCAAATCATATATATATATTTATATAAGAAGACAGAATAAAGGTTGCTCACCCTTACAGCCGCTGCTGCTCTCCGAAGAATGTGACTCACTGCCTTCTTCCCTGCCGCTGCCAGCCTTGTCATGCTTCTATCGCCCCGGGCGCCCTTCCATTCTACCTGTGCTCTCCCACCCACCAGGTACGAGAGCACACGCTGCAATCGCTGCAGCAGCAGTCCATCTCCCTTGAAAATTAACGCTCTTTTCTTCCTTTCTCCTTTCCTCACCCCCCTCAACCCCCCCTCCCCCACCCACCAGGTGCGAGAACACACGCTGCAAGCCCTGCAGCAGCAGTCGATCTCCCTTTAGATTAGATGCTCTTTTCGTCCATTCCCCTTTCCTCACCACCCCCCCCCCTTCCCCCCTCAACCCCCCCTCGCCCACCCACCAGGTGCGAGAGCACACGCTGCAAGCCCTGCAGCACCAGTCCATCTCTCTCCGTCTGCTCGCCTCTGCACTGCACCCCACCGCTCCCGACCCCTTCACCTCCCCCTTTGCCCTCGCATCCTTCGCCCTCACACACCCGGGAACCGACTCCCCCCCGAACCTGCTCCCCCTAGAGGACTCGCTAGTGGGGGACCTAGACCTAGAAGCCTCTTCTGCTGCTGCTGCTGGGTTTGGTGCCGCTGGTGCTACTGGTGCTGGTGCTGCTGGTGGTTTTGGTGGTGCGATCGGTGGGGTGGGCGGTGGGATGGGTGGAGGAGCGGAGTTTGGAGGGAGTGTGGGCGGCAGTGGGTGGGGCGGCGAAGTGGCGCTGTTTCCCTTGGGATTGTCGCTGCGGCCGCTGAGAGACGGGCGGCTGGCTGGGCGGCTGACTTACCAGGTAATTAGTGTGGGGTATGCTGGGTAATAGCCTGTAAAAATATGGGTTTTTTTGAAACAAGATGATGTGATGGAGGTGATAGCAGAGTATGGCAAGGGTAACAAAGGATTCAGCATTCATGACCCTTCCCCTCCGTTGCAATCCTCTCTTGCACCTCTCTCAACCCTTCCCTGTGTACCCCCTCCCTCTCGCCCTCCTCCCATGGATTGACAGGTGGATGCGATGCCTAGAAGTGCACACATGCTCGTATCTCATATCGCAGAGGTGCTAGCGAGGCAGGTAGAGCGTGGTTCACACATGCTCCTCTCCCACCCTCGCCTTACACCTGCCCACCTGCCCCTCCCATCCCCCCAGGTGGATGCATTGCCTAGAAGTATCGCAGAGGTGCTAGCGAGGCAGATAGAGCGGCTGGCAGAGGCAGCAGTGGAGTCTCCCCGGCCCTTGCTGCTGGATGAAGCCTCTTCCAGGGCGCTCAAGCAGGCGAGGAGACGAGGGGGGGGTGGGGACGGGGGGAAAGGGGGTGGCGGAGGGGGTGGGGGTGGGGGGATGGTGGGGCCGATTGGGTGCATGCCGTTGTGTATAGGGCGCGATAGACGGTTGCTAGTGAGGCAAGGGTCTTCGGATTCAGATGAGTCTGATGTGAGCGTTTGAGGGGTGTGGGGTTTGATGGGTGTGGTGCCATGTTGAGAAGGACGCTCAGGAGGGGTGAGGTGGGGAGAGGGTGGGGGTATGGTGGGATAGGCGTGTGCTGATGAGGCAACAGTCTTCATTCTGATGGCTTTTGAGAATTCTCAACAGTCACACGAAGTTAGGCGTGTGCTGATGAGGCAACAGTCTTCGTTCTGATGAGTCTGATGTGAGCTTTTGATGGGGTGGGGTGTTTGAGGGGGTGGGGTAGGGTGGGGGAGGGAGGGGGGGAGGGGGGGTTGATGGGTGTGGTGTGTGGGTTGCTGGTTGCATGAGGTGTGAGTGTGGAAGGAGGTTGGCGACCAGGATTGTCCTGGTGAGGGCTTTTCAGTTGGGTGCTTTTGGGATGGATGGATGTTTTGTTGTGACAGGTGGGAGGGGAGGGGAGGGGAGGGGAGGGGATGGGGTGGGGTGGGTTGGGGTGGGGTGGGGTGGGGTGGGACGCAACACGGTGAAAGGCAGTGTAACACACTGAAGAGGGCGCGTTAACAGCTGAGACTTGCACACACTAACAGAGGACTGGCAACAGCAGATCTGATCTGATTTGACCCACCGATGGACGGAAGCAAGGTCCCACATGCAAGGGACGGGTCTGCAGTGTACTAAGGCTTCTGGCAGCTACAGTACCTAACTTGATTTGATTTCATTGCTGCTACCATAACTCTACACGGAAACTGTACAGCAGGTCCCAGTCTTACACTTGGCACATAGCAATGCTGCAATAATCGCGATTCGCTTGCCTCTGATGAGTACAATAATGGTAGATAGTTTGTTCCTTGTCCTGTATGCATCAATATAATCAGATTGGTACCAGTACATGGCTGTCTGGTCTTGTTCCTTACCGTAGTTTTTACCACTAATACGGTACATGTAAATTTTTGCAAGTGTGTAACACTTTCCAAAATTGTGTATTGTGCAAAGCGAAGCGAATTGTACCGAAGCAAAGGCTTCGGCGAAACACTATTCCCCCTCTTTTTGGTATAAAAGAGGGGGCGAAGGCCATTTTCGAACTTTTGATTTTCAAGTTCCCAGCCCCCCCCACCCTAGAACGTGCTATGATGTTGTTCTTATGATGTAAAACGCTTGGACGATAAATCTTGTACTTGACCAGTTGAAATGAGACGCTGCATTTGCAAAGCAAATCGCAAGCTTTCACAATACCGTATATACTCACAGCTAAGTTAAATTTGGTTTTCCTCCCAAAATGAAGTTTTTTGAAAGTGTGTAACACTTTCTAAAAATGTATATTTTCAAAAGCTGTAACGCTTTTTAAAATTAAGTATTTTGAAAGCGAAGCTGCCTGTAATGTAGGATTTGGCAGCGTCGAGCCGCGCTAAACGCCCGTTTTGGAGTACAAAACGTGGGCTGGAGGTCATTTCCCTCCACCCACGTCTCTCATTTTCAGACGGTTTAGCCGATCTGAAGTCTCAATTTTCATTCTCAATTTTCGTCTCCCTTTCCAAGCTGGCGAAGTTGAAGTCTCTTCCCCGTTTTCAATCTCCGTCGACTTTACTCTCGGACATCTTCGCACACAACGCAGCAGCTATGGCACTTAACGGCGGCGAGGTTAATACCACCACCGCCCCCGCTCGACCCGATTCCAGAAGGAACGCTCGCGAAATTGCGGGCGATCGCCCGAACAAGCGCCGGGCTGACGACGGGGAAATTTCCCCGACTGGCGTCGACGTCCTGCTCGGCTCGACTGAGGCACACGCCACGGGCGTCGAGGCACACGCCCCTGGTGTGCCTCGAGCCCCTGTGGCCCCTGACGCGCCGGCCACGACAGAAGGCGCCAAATCAGCGCCAACCAGCGCAGCCGGCACCCCGCGTCCGCGTCAGCGCCGCAGGCCCGTGGGCCCTGACGCGCCTGTGGGCCCTGACGCGCCTGTGGCGCCTGACGCGCAAGTGGCGACGGGTGCCCAAGTGGCGCCAACTTTTTCTGCAGCCCAACTGCAGCAGCTTCTGTCCCTGTTACAGCAGCACGCCCCTGCTGTTACTGAAGAAATAGCTACACCGAACGCGACTTCCGTTTCTGCTAAAAGCGAAAAGGCGAAAACGGAGCCCGTCAAGCGCGCTCGCACGACGAAAGCCGGAAGGGGCGAAGACACGCGCGCCGCCGCCACTCCAGTCATGAACAACCCTATCGACAGCGACAACGAAGGCGACGATGATGGTGAGGGACATGCCGTAAATGCCTCTTTTGCACCCACTGAGCAACTCCCCCCACTCCCCTCACCCAATCCCACTCTAACCGCCGCCTCGTTCAAGAACGCTGCCGTGCGCGAGCAAGCCGAGGTCCTGGAACACCTGCGGGCGTACCTGAAGCATGCGGAGCACAAAGTGCGACACAACGAGCCGGAAAGCGCCCTCGAATACCTTGGTGAAGCCTTCACACTCATCAACAACCACTTCAAGCTACTCCATGTCGCCGACTACACCAACTTCCGCACCGCAAATCGCTTCAAGCTCTATGAAGACAAGAGTGTCTTCACCTCACGCCCGTTCAAGCAGGCCGTCGCGGACGTGGCGGCCATGGAGCGCGCCCAAGGCAATTTCACTCGCACTCCACGCGGCGGAGGGCGCGGGCCCATGGCATTTGGCAACAAGCGCGGTCCCCCACTTGACGGCAATGGCAGGAGCTTTCGTGGCGCATGCTTCCGTTGTGGGCAGCCGGGCCACATGGCCAATGCTTGCCCGGAAAATGGGGGGGGAGCCCAAGGGCCGGCGTCGGTGGTGTGAACACCCTAGGGGGTGGTGCCGAGAGGCTCGAGTGAGGGTGATGGCACTAGGAAGTGCGAGGCCGCTGGCCTATCCCATAGGGGATGTGAGAAAGGCCGCGGGCCTACCCCAAGGCAAGGGGCGTAGGACTAGGAGTCCTAGGTGAACATGTGATTGGAAATAATGTTTGTATGCTCTTATGAATGAGTGGAAAGGCCTAATGGGCGAAGTCGTTGGACTAGCTTGAAAAAAAAAAAAAAAAAAAAAAAAAAAGTGGGAGCATGCGCTCTTGATGCGTGGACCTGAAACAACACCCGCACGGCATGGCGGCCTACGGTACACGCGAATTAGAAAGCGAGAGAAGGAGAGAGATAGCGAGCGTTAAAAAAAAAAAAAAAAAAAAAAAAAAAAAAAAAAAAAAAAAAAAAAAAAAAACGGAAAGCGGTAAGATGTTTGGGCTATGCACCCATACAACGCAAAGGAATCACGTGCGAAGGGGGGGCAAACGGAAACGAGATGGTAGGGGACTTGGGGTCCCACAATACCACGAGCACACGCCATTATGCAAGACAAAGGCGGCCAAGAGAGAGAGAGAGAGAGAGAGAGAGAGAGAGAGAGAGAGAGAGAGAGAGAGAGAGAGAGAGAGAGAGAGAGAGAGAGAGAGAACGCCTTGTTCAAAGGCTAAGGCCAGAATCATCGAGTTGGGTGGCAAGTGTCACCACTCTCACGCGATTGGTCCAGAGTTTGACTTGGTTTTTTTTTGCCAGGATTGGCTTCCGAGTTTCTAACCAAACCTACTGCCTGGGTCTTTGTCTAAACCTACCATTCCCAGTCGACTTCCTGGTGTGATTTGGGTCTTGGGTTTTAACGAGGCATGCCCCATGTTGCCCCCACACCCCATGGTCCAATGGCCACAGATTTGCCGGGGGATGGAATGATCGAGGGGCGTGGCCCCTACGAGTTTGCGATCACTGACAAGGTCGTCACGACCATGCGTGGGCGCCTGCGCACGGCATTTCCATGGTGGAGCTCATGGTGTGAGAGTAGTTTCATACTCTCGGTAATCTCCAACGGCTATTGGATGCCATGGAAGCATGGCCCACCCACGCCGTTCCGGCAGGACAACCACGCGGGAGCGCTAATTCATTCCACGTTCACCAAGCAGGCAATAACCGAGCTTCTCGAGAGTGGTGCGGCCGCTCCCGCCCCAACGGAACAACAGCTATGTATTAGCCCGCTGAATGTCGTGGTTCAAAGAGAAAAGTGCCGGCTGATTCTTGACCTCCGACGGGTGAACCAACATCTGTGTATCCCCAAATTCAAGAACGAAGGACTGAACCGGGTGGCGGAGCTCGTTCACGAAGACGACTGGATGTTCGCAGTCGATTTAAAATCAGGATACCACCACGTTGACATCCACCCTTCCTGCTGGAAGTTCCTCGGGTTCCAATTCGACGGGCGCTCGTACGTTTTTCAGTCTCTGCCATTTGGTCTGGCGACAGCCCCGTTCGTTTTCACACAGCTCATCAAGCAGCTCGCCCGTCGTTGGCGGGCACTTGGGGTGCGAGTCATCACGACATCCTCTTTCTGTGTCGCACGGCAGCAGAAGCGAGAACCACGAGTCAGATGGTGGTGCAAGACCTCAGCAAGGCGGGACTGGTTATCAATTCTAAGAAGTCGCACCTGCAACCCACCCAGCAACTGCGGTTTTTGGGTGTCGAGTTGGATACACAACGCGGCCAGTTCTCCATTGGCCCCGAGCGGCGAGCATCATTACGCTCAACCATTCATGAATTATGCATGGCCGGCAAGGCCGAACGCAAAGTCTCGATCCGCCACGTCGCCAGAGTTACCGGCATGCTCGCGTCGATGTCACTTGCCATCGGCGCAACCGCACGTGCATTCAGCCAGAACCTATTACAGACCATTCAAGATGCCCCTTCCTGGAACAGCAGAGTGCAGTTGGTCCCCGCGGTCATTGAAGAGCTCGAGTTTTGGCTGCATGAATTCGACAAATTCAATGGCGCCCCGTTCCACGTCCCGAACAGCTACGATGCAGTGATCCATGTGGACGCCAGCGCACACAGTTGGGGAGCGACACTAGATTCGTTCCCGGGAAGGCGCATTGAGGCGAGCGCAACCATGCCCGTGCACCTCACGAAAGCCTCCAGCACGCAACGAGAAATGGATGGAGTTCTATGGGCGCTGCAGACATTCTCGGGAAGGATCCAGGACCGACATGTCCTCGCCAGAACCGACAACCAAGGTGTCTTCTTTATCCTTCGCAAAGGTGGTTCGCGGACTCCGAGCCTCACAACAACGTGCAGAGCCATTATTCAAGCGTGCGTTGCCTTCGGGATTCGGTTGACGGTCGAATGGATTCCGCGCGAACTCAACACACGAGCTGATGAACTTTCAAAGATGATCGATCGAGACGACTACGCACTCAAAGCACCATGGTTCCGGCTTATTGAACGGCGCTTGGGACCGCACTCTATCGATCTATTTGCCAATGCGAACAACACCCAGCTGGCTCGCTTCTGCGCCAAAACCCCTCATCCCGACGCAGAGGCAACTGATGCCTTCTCCCTATCATGGGCCTCCGAGCATGCATACGCCTTTCCGCCACCCCACCTCATCCCAGCGGTGTTGCATCACGCCCAAAGGACGCGAGCGTCGCTCACGCTCGTTGTGCCTCACTGGCCAGGGGCAAGCTGGTGGCCGTTACTACAACCTG